TAGCTGGAGAGGATGTGGAGAAAAAGGAACACTTTTGCATTATTGGTGAAATTGCAAATTTGTACAACCACTATGGAAATATTTAGGGAGTTTCAAAAAAATAGAAATATAACTACCATATGCTCCATCTCTACCATGCCTCATTATTTCTCCTAAAGAATTAAAGACAAGGGGTTGGGGTTGTAGCTTGGTGGCAGAGCGCTTGCCTTGCATGTGTGAGGCACTGGGTTTGATTCTCAGAACCACATACAGATAAATAAAATAAAGGTCCATAGATAATCAAAAAAATTTTTTAAAAAAAGAATTAAAGACAATATTGATACATGCATATCCATATTTTTAGCAGCAAAGTCAAAATTGCCAAACTATGGAACCAGCCCAGGTATACGTCAATAAGTAAATCGATAAAAAAAATATGATATATAGAGAGAACAGAATTTTATTTAACCATAAAGAAGAATCAAATTATGTTATTTGCAGAAAAACTATGTGGAACTTGAAGACTTTATGTTTAAGAAAAATAAGGCAAAAATCAGAAAGTCACATTTCATATCTTTTCTCTCATATGTGGGATCTAGGAAATAAAAAGGAAAATGAAAAAGATGGGTGAGGAATATTATAAAAACCAAAGAGAGAGGAGAAGCTAAATGGCAAAATGGAACTGGTCAGTGATTCCTGATTTCCCCCACAACCCTGAAGGAAACAGTGAAAAAGAGCAGTTCTGAGAGGTAAGTGAAAAAAATAAATGCTCTAATATATAACATTAAAAAATCTGAAAACTTGAGAGACTAGAAGATTGGTTAACAGAATAGAAAATAACCACAGAGTTCCCTAACCAGGAACCCAGACAAGTGTGGGTGAAGACCAGAGCAGCAACAGAGAGAGAAAGAATGAGAAGAAAAGCACATTAGCTCACCCACTTAACAACATTTGGAAAGAAAAACAGACTATATTATAATGTGTAGGAGCAATGGTGTCCTGACCAAGTAGTTTCAAACCAAATTGTAAATATGAAGTCATACTATGCTCTCTAATCTGACCAGTCAACCTTTAAATCAACACACATTTTTCCACTTCCAGATATCAGCAAACTTTACCACAGGGAACAGCTTTCTGTGGAATTTCTTAAGAACCCATCTAGAAAGAACTTATAGAGGGATCAGCACTTAGCAACAATTACTCAAATCCCCTCTCCATCACTGCAAATGAGGGGAGTAAGGAGGAGTACACCAGCATGGGGAAGTGAGAACCCAGGACTCAGTGAACCTACTGTGAGAGCCCCAGACAAAGAAGAACAACTCCAAACAGCATCCCCAGGATGCCAGGCAGAGGAGGAGMACTCCATGAAGCATCCAGTAGACCCCAGGCAGAGAAGAAGCATTCTATGCAGACTTCACAGGACCCCAGGCAGAAAAGGAGCACTCTGCATACTCTGGGCAAATTCCATGGTAGTCTGGGCAGAGACGGATCAGTTACCCACAAATCACTGAGGCAGGAAGCAGTGTTTAGATCCAAATGGGAAGACAGTTTGGGCCACAAGCAGAGGAAAGGAAACCCCTCAGGACTGCTGCCMCTACTGAGGACTTATGCTCAAGAAAGACACAGTGGGAAATTGGCTGAGTTCTAAGAAACCTAGAGGAACTGTCCTGATTGTGGTCAGATTTTGGGGGGCAGCACATCCAGGAGGGAAGCTTCCTAAATATCCAGCTGCATAGCCAAACTTTCTCCATGGATCATGTCAGTAGCTGGGAAAAGGCAGACTAGAAATCACCTGAGTCCCATAAAGCTTAAAGGGAAGGTGCATGGATTATGATCACAAACAGTGGGAGGTCAATCAKGGGGGAAATTTGCCTAAATTCTAGGCAGTGGATTGCAATGGCCTCTAAGTTGACTAGTGGCTGGAACTGGTAAGAGTCTAGGTACTGTTTAGACACTGGCTGGACACTGCCTCAGTCACAGTAAGTAGAGGGAAATAGCACCCAATATTCACAAACTGGGGCAGAGGATAGAGAATCCAGGTGAACCAGCTGAGTCACCTGACGCAGTAGTAAGGACAATGAGCTGTGTCATMCAGGGGGAAGGACTCTGCATTACAGAACACCCATGGAGAACCCACAGCACAGGATCTGTCCTTGTAAAAGCACAGGATCTGTCCTTGCAAAAGGACAGGTCACCRGTTTTTACACCATCTTGAAAAGAATCCTGTAAAGGGCAGCAGGTACACAGTAACTCAAATCAATTACAGTAATAACCCAGAACCCTGCATCCTGTTGTTTCAGTCACAAYAGAAACAACCAACAGACCCAACACTGTACCCTTCAAGCAGAGGTCCYCAGTTCCTGAGCTGACAAACCAGAAACAGTTTGTCCACATCAATTAGGGGAGTGGCTCTYGTGTCCCAGCACTTCTAGAGGGATTCAAAAAAGAAAAACATGATTGATATTGTCTAAATGTCCAAAGTCCTAATGAAATCCAAACCAAGATTCAATAAGAAATGTCTTCACCTTGGCATGGTATAGTA